TGAACATATGTTATGTGGTCCCAGTACTTGCTTGATGAGATGGTGCACTAACTACTCAGGTTGCAGAGCATGTAGTAGTAACCTTCATTAGAGAATATATCTGTTATATCTGTTAGTATTTCTCAATATATTCTCTGTCACTTCTTAATTTAGAAAAGCTTACTAATATAAGTTTGATCTGTTAAATCTACTTTAGGCTATCAATGAGGCTATCAGTATTCACTAAACTTTATTTTCAAGGCATTCATAAGAGATGGTTTTAGTAGGATCAAGCCTTTTAAAGGTTTTGACCTGTCAAAAAACAGGTCGAATTTTGGTTGTAAATCCGGGTTTAGCAAACATCAAGTTAAATATTATAGACAAATGTAACAATATAAGATTTATTTATTCAGTAATCGATATAAATTATAACATGACATCAAATCTAAAATACTGTATAGACAACTTTCTATTGTTGACAGTTGGTAGGATGATAGGAAGCTATCTTATTTTATTCTATTAAAAAGCTACCTGTGTTAATGTGTTATCTTCTCATATATGTACCATATCTTCAGTACCGTATAAATCGAAGATAAAGTAGTTCATAACTCTTGGATCTTTCTAGATTTTTCTTCATATAGTATAAAAAAAGAAAATATGAAAGAAAATAAAAGAAAATATTTAAGATAAAATAGTTAATAATTCCCGGATCTTACATTTAAGGCAGACGTAACAAATTAATTGGAATGAAAATAAATATTTTTATGTTTCTATATATCTCTGCTCTTATCCTGTACATAACCAGACACTAATATATGTATGTATAAACATGTGTTTATATGTAATATAGGTCATTTGTTTTGACCAGCCTGTTGAAAGGACAGACAGTGAGGACACAATCAGCTGATTTTCTGCAAAAGTATTAACAAACAAATCGTTGTATATATACTAAGCGTCTGTATACAATTTACACACATATTAGAGTATACATAATATTGCATATGTATATACATGCACACCTTTGTTTCCATAGAATCGACTGATGTATTCGACAGTATTGCCAAACATAATAAAATTCGAATAAAATGCATGGCCTTCACATTTGAGGTTGGCGCAATTTTTTTGAGGGTGAGTTCTATCAATAAAATAAAACTTTTATATATAGTATATACGATGTATATGTATATGTCTTTGATTCAGAAATAAAAGCCTTACTGTCCGAAAATATGGTCCAAAAACCGATATAGATATCGTTAATTGTAGATGGTTTTAGGTTAAGGTTTATTAAATTTATGCAGAATTCATGTTATATATAATTTTTTTATAGAATAGTTATGTTATTAAACTTTTTTCTTTGTAATTGACAAATATAATACACCGCTATAATACACGACTATAAGTGTTACTATTATTTTGAAGAAGAATTGACCCAATAATTATTCTTTTTATATATGAATAATTTTTATTGTGCAATATATACCCGTACATTATACAAATATAATAACAATTCTTTAATAATTTATTTCGGAAAAAAATCTTGAACGAACGAAAATCCCGTCTGTTAGTATGGCTGGTTGGTGTCAGTAGATTAGTCCCTATGAATAAATTGAAACAAATACAAAAGGATTTTATTAGAAATATTTAAATTCTTTATTAAAACATATAATTTATTATAGATTATTATTTTATTTACTATATTATTTTCATCTATTAGTTATTTTACTTAAATAATAAAAATTAATTTTGAAAGTAGAGAACTTAGATGACCATAAGGACACCTACGGCCTTGGGCAACAATTATAAATTATATTTATATATTTATAAATGAGAAACTTCAAAATATGGCTGTAAAATATAATACCCTCTTTAACTTTTTTTTTTATTTAATTATTTTAAACTTATAATAATATTTAGTTTGAAAGTCGATTTTTGCCGCGCACACGACGTTCTTTCTGACTTGCACGATTTATGACCCATTTACACAAAGGTTTTTCACAGTAGGATCTAAGAGTGTGGTTAATATTTAAATAGATTAAACGAAATCAAATGAAAAGGAATGATTTCACAGCTCAATCGTTTTAGAAGGCAATACAAACCGATGTTATAAACTAGATTTTATAATTATTTTCAAATATCTACATATATTTAATGAAATCAATAATAAATTTGAAGAACGTCTCCAGCAAAAAAAAAATTTTTTTTATAAATAAGAAAATACATACCATCTATTAGGATTTTGATCATTACTTCTACGTTATCTTTACATTGACCATTTTTTTTAAATATTTAAAAAAATACATTTTAATATAATATAATAAAATAAAATTTAATAACAATATATAACAATATATTTAATATAATAAGATATATATTTATTTTATGTAATAATATGTATTATATTATTAAATAAAATAAAATGTATTTTATAATTAAATATATTTTATTCCATTATTAAATAAAATATAAAAATATATTATAATTAAATAGAATATATATTTAGTTTATGTAATAATATGTACTTTATTATTAAATAGTATATAAATTTATTTTAATATTAAATTTTTATACAAAATAAAAACACATATGTTTAATATATATATATAGATAATATATATAGATATATAGATATATATAAATATGCTCAGTTGTAATCAGTAGAAAAACTCACGGTCCCAGAATGATTTCTTGCCTTTGGCGGGTAAAGTGAAATACCTATTTCACATAACTGCTTTAGTTAATTTTGCCATCCATGTTATACCAATATGTTAGAAATTAACATACGATTCGTACATCTGGGAAAACTTTTTCTACCGAGAGTCAGTTTAAGTACAATTTTTATGTTCGTTTTTTAAATCTCGAGCAAAATGTATAACACTCGAGATTATTTTACAACACTCGAGATTATTTTATAACACTCTAAATTTTTTTCTAGAGTAGCCTTAAGTCAACAGCTGTATTATATGACTTGACGGATAAAATTTTATTTAATTCGACATTTATATTTATGAAACATATCAATGTTCACTAAAGCTACTACAAAAATATTCAAATACTCTAAAAATGTTCAATTCAGTAACAAAATTTAACAAATCGAGAGCAAATGTAGATTGAATCCAGATTTACCTATGGCATTAGTAAGTTCTTTCATTGTTAATTCAAATACATTTTACAATTACATTTAAAACAATTTAATAAAAAATGTACGGCTTGACTTTGGCCGCTTGTTGCTGGGAATTAAATCCAATTAGATAAATTTTACCATATATCACCATCTGATAAACTTACACCCGATGTTGTCATTAGAGTTCAATAATATTTTTATTTGACTTTTATATGATACCAATATTATATTTAAATAATAAATATAATACACCATCAATCTATATTGATTCTATAGGATCCGTAAAAAATATGCTTGTAGAGATATCAGCTTGTGATTATATTGTGCATTAAGAATTGCTTAGAGAAGGCATAAGTGAAAGAATTATACATAAAACAAATACAATTTAAGTATAATTTAGTGTTAAAGAAATAATGTATTAAAATGCTGCTTTGAGTGGCGACTGACTGACAACTCTAACTATTCTTTTTGCAATAGCTCATCATTCAAATATCATAAACTTATGCCTGGTTTTCACTATGTCATTTTAAATGACAATTATAATTGACTCGTGTGTCAAATGCGTTTTCATTATATGACAAGAATGTGAATATGACATTATATGACTACCCGTTTTCATTATACTGACAATATTTGACATTGAAAATGACATAGTGAAAACGAGGCATTACCAATTTAATATACGTTTAGTTCTATTCTCAACAATACGTTCTCACATATTTTATCAAACAGCCCTTAAAAAACATATTTCTGATTATATCCGTGTTGAGAGGTCCAACAAGGAGTGCTCATTTATTTTTTTTAGTTTTAAAATCTTATACTTTGTGATTATAATAAATAAATAAACTTGAAATTAGTTTTCAAAAATCACACTAAATGTGCATTTATTTTAGATACTGCCAAATATCAATGATCTTTGAAAACACCTATCCTAACTTATGTTTTTCATATTATATTGATTTAAGAAATTAAATACACAAAAGAATAAAATAATTTTGAAAAAAATGAACAAACAGAAAAATGATAGTCATTCTTTGACACAATTTATGCCAACTATAGTCAAAATAACTAATTATTAAATACTTTGAAGAAGACATAAGTTTACTCGAAAATACATTATTACCTAGGATTGTAACATAAGATTATATTATATTAAAGAATAAATTAATAATTAAATTTGAATACAACTTCTTATTAATTGCAATAAATTATGAGGTAGTATTGTTTTTTACCTCGAATTCTTAATATCTACAATATAAACGTGTTGTATATAGGAACATAATGTATCTCTAAGATATAATAAGCTTACGATTTCCTAATAACTGTGAATAGGAAATTACTTTTTTAAAAATTAAAAAATTAAATTCAAATTGACTAATTTTATTGAACTAATCAATAGAATGATAAAAATTTGGAAAATTAAAAGCCCTTAATTACATAGCATACTACAAATTACATCGGGCTTAACATAATCAATTTAATTAAAAGCACACTATCAATGATAATATGCATTTAAATTAATATTTATGGTTTTTTTTATATATATATAAATATTTTAAACATCCTTAAACATGATATTAAAAATTATTTTATCTTTATATATAAAAATAAAGTCATTTGTGTCCAAAATGTTAAGTTGATTTAGCATTTCACATAGAAATTGTATGATGGTTTATAAATATTTGAAATTTACTGCATAAGATATAATTTTGTTCTGGCTAGTATATATACAATCATTCTTAGTAAGTAAAGAGATCATTAAAATATGATATTAGTTGCATTAACATATTGTAGGTTATGTACAGTTTTATAATATTTGATGATTTACAGAATTTTACTACAAATATATATCAAAATATATAATAATAATTATAATCAAAATATGTTATATTTAAGAGATTTCAGATATAAAGTCCATTTAATCCATTTAATATCCTTTCGTGCTTTAATATTAATATCACCATTATTTTGAGTGCAATATTCCATAGGAATTCGAATTTCAATTTTGCTTATAACAAAAGTTGATGCCTTAAACAGAAGATTATATTAAAAAAATTTATTTATATTATAATTATACTCACTTATAGTGTAATGTATTAGTTTGAAATTAGTTTAGTTAATTACAAATTTATCGGTATTTTCTAGCATAAGTCTAGATCAACTAGACTAATACTATGTAAGTGAATGCATCACGGTTTCAATGATTTTATATTCATACTATAAGCTCCAATTTCCTATAGTTTATGGCGTCAATTTATAGATTGTGGTCACTCAAATCTAAAAAATATTAAATTCGTGTTAGCATTTCTTCATTATTATAATGAAATATGTTTACTTAACATACTTTACATAAATAATGTTAAATGATCCAAATGTCGTGGAAAATTAGTTTAGTGAAACTTTGTTGCGAACAAAATATGGTTTCCTGACTGCTGATTGTATTTAACGGGTTTGTATTAAATGCGTTGCTGAGAGAGGTGCAGACACGCTTCCACACCAGATTTTACTCTTATATATTATAGAAATTATAGAAGAATGTTGTATGAAAATTTTATGAACATCCTATTACTTATTTATGTCTGGAACTACAAATTGTTTTGTGATGTGTTTTAATATTTTTGTTATTATATTGTTTTAATAGTTATATTTTTTACTTTTTTATGTAATGATAATGAATTTCATAAAATTTATTATTTATTTACTTCTATATATGTATATTTATATTATAGCGAATGCCATTTTCATTTCTTCCATTGTCTACGCGGAGTGTTTGGTAACATTGACTATAGCTGATTTCTTCTGAAAATAATAAAAATTTAATTAATATAAAAGTTTTATGAATGATAAAATTTATACTTCTCTGTTTTTGTAGACTTTAGTCTATAGTTTTTAGGTCGTTTTTTTTTATTGTTGCCTTATACGAGTATAGGCCGCCTGAGCTAGTAAGCAGCACTCCAGGGATCTGTTATTTTCTTTACATAGTTTAGTTGTGTGTAGATTAGTTGAACTAAACTAAATTTTCGCAAGTACTGCATTGTGTTTGCATTAATTATATTATTCAGATTGCTATATAATGTGAAACTATATTTAAAATCATATTTTTTTTATGCTGTAACAGGTCATTACAGGACCTTACTGCAGTCAAGTGTCTATGTGTGTCTGAACAATTGCTTCAGTACAACTTTTGTTGTAATTTAAGTCAATATTTTCCAAATATTTTAGACTTTTATATGTTTAAATCATAATGCATCGTTTTTCTTTTAAATTTAAAGGCTTCTCTAAAGCATTTTTTACAAATCATATCATGATTTATCATAACGATTGTTTTCTGATATTTGAAGTAGTTGAAAATTTTAATAGCAATAAGTTGCACTATTGATATATTCCATTCTCAGGATCATTAATTGCCGTCAACTTATCACGAAATATGTTTACTCTATAGTAGACTCACAAAAGTTTGCTTTTATATATCACAGTAAAAACCGGTAATGTTTTCTATAAACTTATTTTATATATTATCCCTCCTTAATCCACACTAATTATTGCGAAATATATATAAACATGTATTCAAAAGGCTATAAAATTGTTTACAAATTTGTTGTTTTTAAAATATTAGAGGAGTAGAATGTAGAGTACGTATTTTAACAGGTGAATAACACATAACAAGTGCTTAAGTGTAGAGCAGGGTTGTTCTTTAATTAAATATGCAAGAATTAGGTTCATTTAACATATAAAATATATACAAAAAAAAGTAACATCTGCTAAGTTTTAACTAATTTAAATTACAAAACAAGTAATTATAACAATTTTTCAAGATAAAAGCAAAATTAAATACAACAAGAATGTTATAATATAATATAATAAGATATGATAAAAACAATAGTTTAATCAAGGAACAGATATGTTACTAATATTAATATATTCATTTTAACTTTAGCAATCATTAGAAGTAATTAAGGTTTTCAAAACATTTGTTAAAAACATGTTAATATGGCGTTTACACTGACCTCAAATGTTTGATTTGGCTTAAAAATAACAAATGAGAAATAAATGATTGATTTCTGCATACAAAATTCGATATGAGCAAATAAAATCCACACTCGCGCAATGAATCTCATTTTATCTAAATGAGTTTCAACGCGTTACAAATGAGTTCCAAATGCAAATGAATACATTGAACATACCCTAAATGTTTTATAAATGAAAAAGCTGTTTTTGACACATTTACAAAAAAAAGTTGGCACAATCCAATTAAAACTATTGTGCACAATGTGTTTGTAATTATATAAAAATGCATATATAGCTCAAAATAATACAACCTTGCATTTAAACATCAATAACTCCAGTATTAAATCGTTATCACTCGTTTTTAAATAATTGCACTTTATCAGAAAAAATATTTAAACTAATATTATTGTTGCTGTTTTAACAGAATATTCGCATGGTTTTTGTGTGACGTTTGCATGGTAAATGCTACTAAATGCTATACATTTACCGATATTAAATCGAAAATGCATTAATTTCGAGAGTGTGGGGGCATGCTTGAGTATCAATTTGACACTTAAATGACACGTTTGATATTTATTTATTACTTTAGTGACTAATATCAAATAGTTAACGGTCACTTACCTTAGTGGGCATTGTAAAACTATGTCATAAAGGATTTGTTATCGCAAAACTTAGTTTCACTTTCGCGTAAAAATAATTTTTATTTATTTAATTTTTATTATTTTGATAGTCTCGACAACTCTACATGAAATTTGAGTATTTGGCAATAATGTCAAAAGGCAACATTTGACAGCTGTCAATTGTAAACAAATTTGCGGCACGTTTACTGGTTTGTAGTGAATTTTTGAAGCGCGTAATCTATTTCTGTTTTAATTAGTTGTATATAATAAATTTTATTAATTATGGAAGATTCAGAACCTTTTTACGATTTTTGTGTACCGTATAATAAAGATGAGACTGCATTTCGTGAAACCTTAAAAGAGTTGTTTGAATGTAAGTAGTGTGTTTTTGTAACTTCGGGTGCAGTTATTTTAAGTTAAAAATACATTTCTAGTGGGATACAAAACAATTGCAATAGAAGAAATTTTTACACATGGTAAAAAAGTGGGAGTTAAACTACCGCGTGATATGTTTCCGAAGCCAGTTAATATTGAGCATTTGCGAGATGAATACAAAACCAAAATGAAAATTCTACAACGGATAACAATTATTTACTCAGAATCGTCTGTTGCACATGCTATGGTAAATGAAATATTTTTTTTTTAATATTTATATACTAATTTGTTTTCACCTTTAAGTCAATTTCTTCAAATATAAAAATGTACGACATAATTGCGGGACAGCCCAAAACAGATGCAGCTTTAACTGTAAGTTAAAGATATAAATAAGTTATTTTGCTCTAACTTAATTTGTTAATTTTTAAGCATTGCTGTGCAAATTTCACCGGTGAATTAATAACTTTCGATATTGAAAATGGTGCAAAATTATTGGTAAACCACAAATCTTATTCCATTGCTTGTAACCGTGGCAAATTCTTCGAACTTAAATATGCGCCCGCCATCAGAGATTCTAATGTACGCAAAGATCTTATAAAAATTGCACATAATTATCGTTTACGCGATAAGCCCAAAAATGTCATAATTAGTAGTGGAGCGAATAATGCTTTTGAAGTTCGGTCACCTTATGATATAGCCAATTTGTAAGTTTAGTTAGCATTATTTCTTAATAATATATTATATTTTATTGCAATATATAATCAGAATTGCGTTTTGATGAAATTTAAAACTACTTAAAGTTCATCATTTTAGATACACAAATAAATGAGCAGTGTGTCTTAGCTAAACATTAATTCCTCTATCAAGTATAGCACACGCTCAGAGAATGTAAAAAGATTATTGCTATTATTGCTTGTGTTCATCATGAACATTTGTTATAAGTTATTAATTACGTGTATATTTTTTTTCAGATCTTTAATATTTGGATTTTCTGAAGATCAGGGAAAGTGTGCAATTAATAGATATGGCCGGCAATTGTTTTTAAAAGCTTGTAAGTTTAATCAGTGGACACTTCACATTATTATTTATAATATTTTTTAGCATCGTTAAAGTATTTATATTTAAATTGCTGTATAGGTGCTCGACGTATTGGAAAAACATTTATGTACATTAAAGGCTCTGGACCAGTTGTATTTTCAATATATGGAGAGGATGATGCAATTAGTGACGAAGAAGATATGGAAGCTGAAGAAGGTGCAGATAGCGACGAAAGTGATATGGAAGCTGAAGAAGGAAGTATAGCTGATACTGAAGAAAAAACAAATGACGAATTGTTAGAGCAACCCTCTAAAAAGTTAAAAACTGCATGATTATTACATGTATTGAAACTATAGAATAAAAAGTTTATTATATAAATTAATAAAATAAATTATTATATAATTTATGTACAAATAACTGTTGGAAATTAAAGTTATATAAAATGTTTGTGATATATATAAATTATATAAATTGTATGTGATATATATAAATTCATGTACATCTAATTTCCTAATATTAATTACATGACTTGAATATGTTATGCCTAGACTATCATTATGATAATACCTGTCTTAAAACTATTATAAAATAGAATTCATTTATATAAAAATGACTTCTTCAAACAAATAAACCTCGAAACGTCAGAAATATTTTTATATAGAATTAAATTATGTAAATCTATTTAAGAAATTCAGAATAAGTAAAAAAATTTAACTAAAAACAGTCCTGTAATAGAATTTATGTATTTGATCACAAAGCTGACTGATAAAGAAAACTCAGTGCGTTTATTTGTAAAATACAATCGTACTCAATAGTATTTTGTACAAAAAAAATTATTAATAAGTCTTAAAAAGAAAAATCAAAAATACAATATCTTTCATTTAAACTTTATTAATATATAATAATTTATTAGCGGGCTAATTGATCATTTAAATAGAAATAAAAAACTATAATTTATTATTTATATTTAAAAATAAATAATATTTTATTAAAATATTTTTTCGATATTTTGACTATCTTCGATAGTCTGGAAATGCTTTCAGACTATAATAACTTTATTAATATATATTTTTTTTCATGGTTCAATTTTTGTTTCATTAAAAAAACATAGTGGTACACCGTATAGAACTCTGCATTTAAACTCAGAGTAACATACACTGCTTTTATAGGTTTAACATATTTTTGGACATACACCGCCCCTCGAGTATTTTACACAGATCACCTCTGTTCATACAATCAAATACTTTAAGGAAGTCAATAAAAGCCACATATACTGGAATTCGTAAAATTGCTCTAGTATGATACTTATGATATTGATGGGATCTATGCAAGAACGGTTTTCTCCAAATCCGAACTGGTTACCACACGCAGACTAGCTACGACGGCGTCAGAAATATGTACTAGGACGATTCGACTTAGTATTTTACTTGATATGGAGAACAACAGTATGATCGTGGTAATTATTGCAATCCTCTGAACGTCCTTTTTTAAGTATTTTGATCAACATATTTTAATTCCACATGGTTGGTGTGGGTATTCTTCTCTCCAAATTCTTTGTATAAACGGGTGTCAAAGTGTTACTGACTTCTCTATATTGCAAAACAGTATTTCTGCACAGATTTTGCACATATTAACTACCCGGCATATTGTATTCCACGGTAATTGCGACGGGATACCTGTCTGTAAGGAAAACAAGATTAGTTTGATGCCTTTGACTATACATAATGGTCCTCAAGTCCGTTGCGATGGGACACCTGTCTGTAAGGACAACAAGATTAGTTTGATGCCTTTGACTATGTTATAGATACTGCTTCTTAACTGCGTTGTCTTGAAATCTGTAAAGAAAAAATTAACCGGTTTACAATATTAAATTTGGAGGATTACGCTTTTATTCATGTATTTACGTTTATCTTTAATAATTCATAAATCTTTATTGGAATTGAATTCGAATTATTGAGGCTGAGAATGTAAATATATTGTGATGAATACTTTGATAATCCAAGTAAGCATTCCAATTTTGAAAGTTAAAATATTTTAATATTTAAATAAAAGAATAAAATATTTTTTTATAAAGTATTTGTAAAGTAAACTAAAAATATATAAAATTGCATCTGTGGTCAACTTTGTATAAATTCAGGGAGGAGCAGTCTTCTGAAGGGTTTTGAAAAATAGTTAGGCTTAACTGAATCTTCTGCAATGGCTGATGAATCTATTGTCGAAATCATAAATTCGCTAATGGAAGATTTTAGTAAATTCGCCAGTGATGAAAATGGTATATTTATTATGAAAAAGTTTAAAACGATGATAAATTGTATTTGTACTTATTTGGAGAGTGGCAAACCTGAGGGTATATTAAAGTCTTAGCAAAATAACTTATTGCATCTTATGACTTTTCTTTGAATTTTTTTTTTTGTAGATATAAAGCAAGTCTCCAAAATTATAAGAGTTTTGGATAATATTCGTCAAAGTATGAACTCATTGGAAAATTGTAGTGAAGATGAACTCATGTCTCTTTTAAAAGAAGAAGAGGAAGACTAGACGTTTCTATCAGTTACTCTTTGGTTATTCGTAAAAATACCTAATCTATGCAATTGTTGCCTTAAACGCAGATGCAATTTAAACTGTAAAATGAAATTACAAGCTAAATCTAATAAAAGTCATTTTAAATTTACATACAAAAACTAAAACATTATTTTTATTTTTTTGCAAAAGATACTCTTCATCTATTCTTTTTTTAAATTATATATTATAGTATAATGAAAAGATTATGATTATTACTTATGGTTTAAGCGATAATTTTCTTTGAAAATAATGTTTATTCTTCAACAATATCAATTTACTTACTTAATAGAAATTCAATAGAATGATCATATCCACATATGGTCAGAATTATAAGGCTCCACTAAATATTCTTTAATTTATCGTTTGACATTTGTTCAGTTAAAAATTCTGACTGCTTTGTTTACTTCATCGTCTTCCTAATAATTTTAAAAAGTGTTTATGATGTATTACTATTTTCTATTAAATCAAGTTTTTTTGCTAATAATATGAAACCATATTCATACAACATGGAAAATCCATGTTGAGAAATCGGATCTTACAAAATCTGATTCGAGTCATTTTATAGTTCTTACTTAAAGTAAAGATATCACTGTTTAATAAATTTTGATCAGAGCTCACAACAAGTAATAACTTGGGAATAATATATTATCAAAACTAGAGAACATGGTGATCCATGCCATCTACACAGTAGCACATTTGATATAGCTACCAAGGATGTTTATCATTATCTTAGTAGAACATTATACTACATCCATTAATAAATTGAATTTTTTATAAGACTGAATGTGAATAATTCAATTTATCCGATAAGAAACAATTCACTTCAGAATTCATTGCTGTTCCATCGATGTCTTAAAACGTTATAATAATAATTATTATATATAAGAAGATATACAGAAAATTTTTTGTTTTTTATTTTTTTTTAATTTTATATTTTTAATTTATTTTTGTAACTATATTTTATATAATTATCAACCGAATATAAAATTTATCTAAAATTAAATTTTGAAACATCTGTCTATGGATCACTTTTTTACAAGCGGAACACATTTTGACAAAATCTGACTTCAATACCTCCGATTTGGATAATATTTTTATGAACTACTAATTTAAAAATAAAAATACCCACATCTCGGGAAAATTTTTTCTAAACTTTTTGGTCAACTTATATGGTATGTTCAATTGATAATTGAGTCTGGCAACCGTATAACTTTAACTTTAATGGCTACTTCTCTTTTATCTGAAGTTTAAATGAAACTTCAGTCAAAGTTGAATTCGTTGAAAACACTGTGTATGACCATGCTTCAAGCCAAATCGGAGGTGATGAGGTCAAGAACCCTTTATCTTGTAAAAAGAATAACCCATATTTATCAAGTGTATGGATTAGTTTTTCCTGGTTTTGTTTGACGTATACGTAATTATGAAAAATGGCAAATGGCTCGACGACTGTTTTGCTGCAGAGAACAATCTCGTATGGTATTCATAAATTAGCTGAAAGATGGGTGAAATATCTAGGAACTGATGCCCAATACTGTGTATTCTCGTAAAAAAAAAATGGTTTCCCTTGAAAACTACTATGTATACAAATCATAAATACAAATCATTATACTGTATAGTTTAGCTACATTTATGAAAATAATGTTTTAAATAATATAATTAATTTATAGAATTTTTTTTTTTATTTACTTTATTTAACAATATGTCTTTAACGAATCTCTTCAATTCAAGTCTAACAATAAGTTTTAGAATTTTAAAGACTAATAACATGACATTATTAACTATTTTATTTAAACTTACTATAATAAAATATAGACTGATTTTTAAATTATTTTAAGTAGCCTCTGGAAAGCAGGATGGCGGGTCTGATATTCCGTTTAACTTTGGAAGTTATATTAGCAAGAGGTCTAGCCAGTGTATTTACATGGTTTTCAAGATTTGAAAGATATAGAAATGAATACAATTTAAAAATTTTCAATAAAACTACATTTTATAGATTTCTTAACAATTTAATTGAAACAATATAATTTACATACATTTAATTAATATAATTTACTAATTAAAATAATAAACAATTATTTAAAATACAATAATTATGTCAAAACTGAATAATGCCATATTTTATTTAAAACTTGGATGTGAACCAGTAATATTTTCGTTTAGTGCAATCAATAATTTTAAAATGCTGGTATATTTGTAAATTTTTTCTATTTAATATATTATTTATTTCCTTAATTCAGCAAATTCTTTCTAAACATATATATCAATCTAATTTATTTCCTTTTTATAGTGCAACGATTCAGAATTAATAAATTTAATTAAAAATTATTATAAAATATTATATACATTTTTTTTATAAAATAATATAATAATATAGTAACTTTTATTATTTTAATTTTTTAAACTATATAAATTTTTTTATATATTTTTTTTATTATTCTTATTTTCCGCTCATTAATATAAAAAATGGAATATAAGAATAGAATAAAGAATATGATAAAGATTTAAGAGAAGAAACAGATGGAATAGATTTCAACACAATAATTAAATAGTTTTTAATTTAAGTGTTAGATAGAGAATATAAAGAGTGGATTCATAAGTAAAACTGTACCATATCAGAGACATATCACGCCTAAGTGTTTTATGTGATTTTAATTTTGCTAATTAATTATGATAAAAATTTTAGAGAACTACATTCGGATAGATGGCAACATTGAAGAGCAAAACTATAATATTGGCCAGTATCTAATCTAGAGTTCTGTACTTTATTTTTCTAAATTTGGTAAAAATAAATGAGAAATTTATTGTTTTGAAAGACTATAGTTATTAAATTATTGTCCATTGATTAAAATGTTGTTTTGTGATTAAGATAATGCTGAAATTAATATTATTTATAACAATAATGGCTATTTTAAAACAGTTCTTTTGCATTCTATGTATTTTAACGCTTGAACAATGCTTCTAAATTGTGAAAAATTTACTTTGAAAAAAATTAATCTGTTCGCGAAGTTCATACATCACTTCGTCCATTTTGCGGTCAACATAATCGGTCTAATGAGCAAGTAATTTGTGGAGTTGTTGATGTTTTTCGCACTAATTCTACACTTTTCGATTAAGCAGCATTAAAACCTTCACTCCTTCTCTGACAGGAAACTCTTTCTTGTTCAGAAAGTACTAGAGTTTGCTTTAACATACATGATCTTAGCATCATTTTGACCAATGTAAACTCCATCCATTCCAATCATAAACCTTAATGCCCCCGACATCGCTCTTTACAACCGCTATGGGGGTATGTAAAGTGAAGAAAAGTGCAATAGAAAATACTAGAGTTTGCTTTAACATGAATGATCTTAGCATCATTCTGACCAATGTAAACTCCATCCATTCCAATCATAAACCTTAATGCCCCCGTCATCACTCTTTACAACCGCTATGGGTTTATGTAAAGTGAAGAATAGTGCAATATATCAATAATTTGTTTCAATTGTTAGTACATAAGCATAACTGTAGTTTATCTTATATACTATAAATACATAACAATTGTATGACGCTCAAGCGGTAAGATGCTAAGCATTAATATTAAATGCTGTACCAACTTTGACAATTAATTAATTAAATTTGTGGAAGCAAAATAGAAAATATTATAAATTAAACGAAAATTATAATAATACGCCTGTGAACGATGTGCATAATAAACAATAAAAATAAAATGTAATTTAGCGCATATAGCGCCCCGATTATCCTGGTGAAGAAGAGAAACGGTAAATGGCGATAGTACATTGATTATCGTCAGTTGAATACGAAATCCATACCGGGCTCCTACCTTCTCCCACCGGGCTAAGTTTATAAGTGGTCTAGACCTAAAGAATGGTTACTGGCAAATACCAATGCACCCCGACAGTAAACAATATAACGTTTCAATGGAAAGTTATGCCATTTGGTCTACATTCTGCGCCTACTACATTTCAGCGAGTACTTCATTCGATAATTGGACCCGAAATGGAACCTTTTGCGTTCGCGTATTTAGATGACATCATTATTGTTAGTCGTATTCGTGAAGAACACTTTAAACATGTCGAAGCAGTACTCAAAAGTGAATTACATTTAAAAATCAATCCTAATAAATGTGAACTCTTCAGATCGACATTATTTTGGACACATGGTCAGCGTCAAGGAAATTCATACAGATCCTGAAAAGATTTCAGCAGTAAAAGATATAAAATCCATAACAATTGACCGAGGTCCCAGTATTACAATGTCCCGACTTCGACAAACCATTTTGCTTGCAAATCGATGCTAGTGCCTTTGGTCTGGGCGTCATATTGACACAGCAATTCGAGGAACGAGAAAAAGTGATCGCGTTCGCTAGCCGCCGTCTGAATAAAGCCGAATGTAACTATTTACCAACAGAAAAGGAATGCCTAGCTATAATATGGAACATTCGAAAGATGAGTCCGTACTAGGAGGGATATCACTTCAAGGTTATTACCGATTATCTGTTTTTGATTAACTCAAATCAAAAGAAAAACAAAAAGTTGAAAAATTATTAAAAAGACACAAACCATTGATCTATAGGGAACGCGATACTCACACAAATACTAGAGCTGTAGTTTATGAAATAAACACGACTAAAGATCAACAAATAAACTCAAGAACTTATAGGATGCCGCCGAAACATAAGTAAGAGTATTATTATTCGAAAGAGCAGAAGTAAATATAGTTCTCCAATTCTAATTATTTCTAAGAAAATTAATAATTCCGAAATCGATTGGTAGTTGACTATGAAGATTAAATCAATGTCTGTCAGTGCGGTGTCCCGCCAACACTGTGCAGTGTTGTTCATAGCATACATTCCCTTCATCGGCAAATGCATTTTTCCAAAAAGATCGAAGCCGCGTAGTATCAAATCAATTGAATGAAATATAGACAGTTATAATGCAGTTTTTATTTAAGGAATCGGTTACAAATATGAGAACAATGAGAACAATTTTAAGCCGTTAGTCAACTTTTGCAGTACAAAACGGACACACTCGATTTGCTAGCCTAAATGTGTGACCAAAATTTATAGTTTTAAGACGCTCAATGTTAGTTCTCTAAATGTAAGTTAAGATTTTGACAGAAAAGTTTATGATTTCCCACACAGATTTAATAAAATATGCACTGATTATGGTTATCACAGAATTAGGTTATAAACTTTTCAGATTGAGAAATTTGAACACCTTCAAATATTGACGAACATATTTTTCATTGAAAGTTTTTTTTTTAACATAATGTCAAGACCCTTTCTCTTGGATAACAGAGAAATGTTTATAGATTTTATATGTTCATAATATTAAATATACAATATACATGTATATTATATATGTTATATAGAATAATAATGTTTAATATAACATATATTAACATCATATAATACAACATACATTAAGACTGAAAAGTTTTCGGAAATTCTCATTTAAAATTCGCGCGCTGTATATTTTTCGATATTTTAAGTTTATGTAGTTTGGCAGCACTGTCCTTAATTACTATGCCAAAATGAGCGCGATCTGTCAGACAGTTCGTTTACGGCAGCTGTTGAAACCAGTTCACCTCAGTAGTGCGTTGCGAAATGTCTTCGACGGTCGTACGACCGTCCTGAAAGGCTTTGTACCACTCATAAACTTGAGTTTTCGATAAAACTGATTCCCCATAAGCCTTTTGTAGCATTCGCAACGATTCTGCACACGAAATTTCGTTCGAAACACAAAATTTGATGCAAACTCTTTGTTCAATATTTTTTTCCATTGTTTTTTTCGCAACGCACTACTGAGGTGAACTGGTTTCAACAGCTGCCGTAAACGAACTGTCTGACAGATCGCGCTCATTTTTGGCATAGTAATTGAGCCTAATTGCTGCCAAACTACATAAACTTAAAATATCGAAAAATATACAGCGCGCGAATTTTAAATGAGAATTTCCGAAAACTTTTCGGTCTTAATGTATATAGCATCTATAAAAAAAACTTTCTTGTCGTTTACTTAAGACGTTCATTTAAGAGAGATCTCCGAAAATTTTATTTTAGAAGAATCGTCTACTCAAACGAGTACTCTGTGTAATAGGATAGAACTTCTGTTACGAAAGTTTTCAATGTATAAAAATCATATTAATAATATAATTTATAAATATTGAGCGGAATTAGTTTTATATTAAGATTTGATAGTTATATGGTTCATTAGATAGTATCTCTAGTTAAAATATGCAGTCTTTATAGAAGAACACTACACTTTTTTAATAACTATATTCATTTCTTTTATGTTTTCTCGATTTTTCTCTTAAGAAAAATCTATAAGAATTATTTCTTCTTCGAATCATTTTTCAATAGTTAAATTACATAATTTGCTATTGCCTCAAATCAATAAATATGATTTCCCTATTCAATATATATCTAGTTTGTATAATATAGGTATGAAATATTTTAGCTTACATAACATATTAAAAAATATTTATAAAATATATATAATATAAAAAATTTTAGATTAAAATAATTTCATATATGACATAGATTTAATAGTTCTTATCAATACAATTATTAAAAATTTTACTAATAGATTTTAGATGTTTTCAAGATTTTTTTGGCCATAAATTCAGAAAAAGTTCTATAAAAATAAATCAATCGTTGCACTATGGTATATATACAATATCAACTGTAGTTAGTTTCCACATTTACGCTTAAATCAATTTTTTTGCCAATTATTTGGTATTCACTTTCAATTTTTTCTAAATTCTCAATTCCTATGTTCGCGACATTTATCTTCTCTTCAAAAAATTTTGCCTTAGCACGACGAGATTTTATTAAAATTTTGTGACCGACACAATCACAATTTTCGGTGTAGCATTTGTCCCGACAACATATTCTGCACAAACGATAAGGACATTTAAATCCTAATGGATTTGTGCATAGTTCACAACTCTCCAAGTTGCGATCATGTTGGCCATCCGGATTATGAGGACGTCGCATACGACGACGCAGTTTCTTCATACGCTTCCTTGATATTTCATTACCTTCGTTATCATAGAAATGCCGTTTAATACGATTTGGATCCTCAGCGAGTTTTGCCTTTTCGGCTATAATCTGTTTATGCGTTTCTGGTGGTATTCTTATATATGGTTGACAGAGCCAGTAGGGAAGTAAAATGTTTTGCTTTAAAAGTGTTAAAGCAAAATGAAATATTAAAAATATTTGATATATAATTATAGAAATTAAAGCACTTACCCCCTCCACCTGTTGTAAAACATTAGGATCCATTTCTTCTTGTTCATAAGTTTGTTCACCATTGTGATAGCATTCATATTTTTTTTGAATTTTGGATACAACGTTACGAAATTGTTCAATTTGATTAGCCAAAGCAAGTTCTTCTCGGAGATCGCTGTTCGGTCTTAGGTTCATTCTAATACAATACAATTATCATAAATAATGTGAGTTATTCACAAAGACAATTTCACTTACAAATGATGAAATATTTTAAATAAATGTCCACGTATATAAGACACTGGACATGGGTAGAGTTCAGCAAAATCCAAATACTCATTAGCGATATCCCAAGTTTTAGGTATTATGCCTTTAAAAAGTGTTGGATTATGTAAATTACCTTCGGCTGTCATGACTCCATCGACACCTGTTTCTTTTAAACAATGTTGGATATCCTCCAAACAGAGTATGTTTCCATTAGCGAACATCGGTATCTTTATGTTTTGTCTAAATAGTTTATTCAATATTAATAATGTTTTATAAATATTAGTGAAAAATTTGAATTTATAAGTTATAAGTTTGGTTAGAACTTTGCAATTCCAACAACTGGTCTTCAAAGAAATGGAGCACTGCAAAAATGATATATCTATTATACTACTAACTGATCACAATTGAATGAAATAAACTCAGTCTCTTCAGGGTTCTTCTAAAGAAGGTCAAAATTTCACTTGTTAAGAATTTTTCAATGGAGGAAGACGATAGGAACACTCGGTTTACGACTCTCTTAATAATGCAAATCAAAAGAGCACAGATAGCAGATAGAATATTTATATGCCTAAATATTGATGTATGTAAGTATGAATACTTAAACGAGAATACAACTTTATTAAGGAAAAATTTGTAGTCAGTTAAACTTGAATGACTTAGTCTTTATCATAATTTTTTTTTATATTAAAATATGTGACATATATTCGACTTCTTCATTGGGGTCCCTTCATCGGTTTTTCATTTAAAAAATTTTAAATACTCTGAAAATATTAAATAGATCCATTATGTTTTCAAAAAGTATTTATAGTGCTAATATTAGGTCGGTGAAAAGTATTCAAAGTTTTTTTGTTTGCTGGACTTAAAAATGCAATAATTTTTTCAGATACGACATTCTATCTTCTCAGATAGATTCATATTGTTAAGATGGTAGAACAGTATAAGGTGACCCGTCAGATCTGTCATGAACCGTAGCTCACTTTTATTAAGGAGAAAAAAGCGTTTTACAGTCGGAACTTTATTGTAGAATAAGTTGGTTCATAACTAATTCTCTAAGAAAAAAAAAATTTGTAACCAAAAAATGTCGAGACACTTTGAGTTAGGACTACGGAGGTGATTTATTCTAAAAATTTTAAAATAAAGCTATGACTACCAGAAAGATGTGTTAAAGTTGACAGAATATTACGTCTACCCGTAAGGAGATAATTATTCTATTGAGATTTTTTATGATTTTTCAGCAGCGATTTGGATCATGATGAGAATACCGTTCGTTGTCTAATTGTAAGAAGTGCTCAATGAGATTTATTCCCATCTTTTTATGAATATATGAATGTTTTCTGTACAATTTGTGATAGTTGTTACCACAAAAAATCTACCATCGGCGTTGGGAACCCAAAACTATTATAGATATATATATATTGATATACTAAGGTAAATATTATACTCCACAATGTGAAACATATCTTTGTGATAACCCAGTATAAATCAATTTAACTTTATATAGTTTTATTATTAAATTTATCTAACCTAACTTCTTTTATATACGACCAATCAGCAATGCCAGTTAACGGTCCTTTTTGATCTCGTGTACGACCATGAACAGTAAGTAACTGACAACCAGCAGCTTCTAACATTTTGGCATATTCAATTGTTCTTTTGCGATCCTCGAAAATGCGAATTTTGCAAGTAACCGGTATAGAAAGATTTTCATGTAGTGTCTTGACTAAAAATATAAAATACATTTTATATATATTATATATATATGTATATATATTTTAAGTACTTACCGATTTTTCCCAACAATTCCCACTCATCCTGTAAAAATGCACCATAATGTCCACGACGAGCAATAGCCTGTGGACAGCCTAAATTTATGTCTATAGCATCACAATAATCTTGGGCAAGTAAAGCTGCTTCTAGCAAAGTTTCTGGATCATTACCACAAAACTATGAAGAAATTGGATCAAAATGTTAGTATCGTTATATAGATTTTATATATACATTATCATGAATTCGTAAACATTATTACGAATTATATTTTCTAAAACTCTGATTTATGTTAGAGTTCCTAATGTATTGTGATATCTAAAAATTTTTTTATATATCAATTTTACAGTTTGACATGGGATACCATAATTGTGTAGCTTAATCCATTAAAAAGACATCAAGAAGTAAGAACAATTTTGAAATTGCGCGCGTGACATCTTCTTTAACGAGTAGGGTTTATTTTTAGTAATGGTTGCATTGCAATGGTTGCATTGCAATATTATGTTTATGTATTGATTTTTGCACGGTAACGAATTTAAAGCATACTTTAATTGAAGGATAACTCTCCATAGGAAAAAGTAAACGTAGTTTTTTTTGGATACTTTGAATGAATGGTTCGTTTCGAAAATATACTTCGATATTCGAAATCTGTTTGGTTCAGAAGCGGAACAGAAAAAAAGGCTTTAAATGCGAATTATATTAATATCATTATTGGTTTGTTTGAAAGAGGAGATCATAAAAAAATGATCCTTATTGATGAGGAAGAAGAATGTATTTTCCACAAAAGTTTGAGTCATATGATATCATATGTGATTTTTATTAGGTAAGATTTATCGAAAATCCGAAGATTTTCGAAAATCTCTAACTTTCATTCAAATACTTTTGGACTATGCAAATCGCTGCAACATGTCAGTAGGGGAATTGAAACAATAAAAGTAAGTATAAGTTTGGAGTGGCTGTCTTTCAATTTTAAGATGACGTTCTTTTTAATAATCTATTTCTTCTGTGTGTAGCGTAGTGGGAACAGTTGTTTAAAATAGTTGGCTTTTCGAAAAGCTATAGTCAAATGAGCGTGATCAAATATGGTTTTGTTGAATCATGGAGAATTATATGATTTGGTTCAAAGTACTTCAAAAGCCGATATTCGTCAAAAAAGGTGACGGTATCTGTTTGGTGGGATGTCAAAAGAAAAAAAAAAGTTAAGGTAAAAAGTTACCTTATTACCTGTACCAATTGAATGGTTCACTTAAATAGAGAAGAAATTGATTAATAAAAAAGATGTAGTGTTTTGATAACTTGACAAAAGCTTTTATAATTAAGTTGAACCTTCGCATCATTATTTATTCCGGTCGATACCAAATATTTTAGACGATAAAAATTTGCTTGTGGTAGGTCAAAAATCACATGAATCAGTTTTAGTTAGTAAAGCGGAAACATTTTATAAATATAGATTCACGCTATTGCCAGAAAGGTGACAGATTTCATATTATAATATATATTTATTTATTTTCAGAAAATCGAATTTTAGTTTTATAATATAACCTAAAGAATCTTCTATTATATCCCTTTCTTCTTTAATGCCTTTTATAAAAAAAAAACCAAAATACTCTCAAAACAACCTTTTATTATAGTATAATCACTTCTAATGCCTTACATACCTGTATAATAAGTGGTCTATCCTCAGCACATGTTTGTAAAGCTTCTTTACGGTATTTTGGATCATTGGCAAATAAGTTGCTATGAAACATTGGAGTATAGCAAAGATGAGCACCATGTTTACGACTCAACATACGCCATGCCAGTTCACTCTGATCGACCATCGGTGCCACCTGAAAAATTGAGAAATATTTACAATTTGAAATAATTTGTATTTATTTGAAATTTTATTTCGACTTAATTTAAATACCATAACTTACCACGTATTTTGGAGAACCTAATATTTTGTGATAGAAGTCATAACCACCAAGTTTCGTGCCATTTTTTGAAATTTCATTATTCATGTTAAGATGGAAAAACACCGAAAAACTGCAAATAAAAAAAGAAAATTTATTTATTTTAAATATATTTTTACTTAAATATTTACGTTCAGTTAAATTAAAGGTTAAAATTTTACAACTACAATACAATATTTAAAACCATGTCTCCACTTGAGGGTGAAGTCAAGCAGAGCATACTAATTACCATATTAGCAAAGAATTGCCCATATTTTCCTGCACTTTCTTCACTCGCTGGGTGCTACTGCTACGTACTTGATTTTCGGGTAAAATTTGCAAATTAGTAAAATTTGCTAACTCGCTCCAACTGAGTCCACGTGTAAGAGGTTTTATTGTCTTGATTTTGTTTCAATGGAAATTTCGGATTTCCATCTACGTCGAAGCACATACACAATCGTCTCGAAAAGACATTGTTAAGTTCATAGTAACGCAATCGAAATTCGCAAATTGTTCCAAAGGAGCTTGCTCGTTGCGTGTGCTGCTTCTATGGACTACCACCACCGAACGTTTTTACTACTAACTGTGCTACTAATGTGATTCCTGCAGTGAATTCTACCGTAAAAACTTTCTAAAATTCCCTCAAATTAGTGTATTGTGTATGGAATGCAACGGTATGGAAAATGAAGGAGGGAAAATGCCATATTCGTTAGTTACTCTTCAAATTTCATTCAGAGACCGCATTGTTCATTACGATTTGTTTCAGGAACAACAATTTTTCAAAAAAGGATATTTTATGAGTATAAACTTTTTGTAGTTTTCAAGTTTTTATTTATCTTGAGGATAAACAGAAGACACAATTCATGCCATAATTCATGAATGGAATGTTGCAATTTTAACTTTACTTAAGTAGTCTATAGCGAATATGGAATGGAAGGATGATGCTATATTGCTCTTGCTGACAGACTATTAAGTTGATATATTTTTATATATATATTTAATGCATAAATTATTCTAAATTAATAGTTTGCAAACTGTGATTGACTACACATGATATTCCCCTGACATCAACCTGTGCAACTTTTTTCTGTACCTGAAACTATTTTTTTTTTAAACATTTAAGCATCTTTTATTGGATATGAGTATTACAATCTTAACGAATTGTTAATTTATTACTATTGCTGGGTTGTACTTGATAGATATTAAGTATTACGTGTGCGGGTTTACTGAACCAGTGTTCAGCTCCCATAATGTCGATAGAATAACTACTTTTCTTTATTGGTCATAAAATCAAAATCACTGAAGAAGTTAAAGAATGCCACAATCACTAAAGAAAATATATATGAAGGCGCTTCGAATAGATCTATCTTAAAAAAAATTTGATTGATTGATAATTTTTTGTGTGTTTATATATCATAAATATATTCTAAATATATTCTAAGTATAAATTAAAACATTTCAACTAAGTTTTGCTATTTCTTTTAAGTAGAAACTGTGTCCATAAAAGTTAACACATTATCTAAGTATAGTCGGGATATAATAAAATAAATTTGTAACCATTTCTTTTGTACCTCTATCAACTTTAACTGAGGTTCTGTCATATATATATTAAACAATTGTCTGTGTTACTTATGACAAGGTGGCTCCATTCATTATTAGAAAACTTAAGAGTTATTAAAATATAACCTCAGCATTATATGCTAAAAGCTTCATGGTGTATCAGAAATGAAGATATACACAAAGACTTGAGAGTTGAGAGTGTGCAAAAATATATCAATGACAAAAAGCTAAAACTGTTCGATTCTGTAGATGCTTAAACTAATTTAGAATTACACAAAATTTTTTATATATATAGACTTACGAAGTTCAAAAAACAAAGTAATTCTGCGTCGTGTTATAGCAGAGAGTATTAGAAACTAAAAAGTGTGACGGGCCGAGCATGCTTGGGGTATAGAAAAACAAATAAAATCAATAGCTAGGATTATTTTCTTATAAATAAATAAGTTAACAGGGCACAATAGACCCGATGACCGCTGTGCCACATCCCCTGACAAATAAGTTAGCAACCAAAACGAGTGTACTGAAAATTAACATATGTTTCGGGATACACCGAATCCCAAAACAATTCGGGAACCAAATTGTACATAATAATATTAAATTTCTTTAAACAAATTATTTTAGAGTGAACAGTTTTATAGATTTTATGAAGAGGCTATCTTGCATATTTAACTATAATATATTAATGGATTTAGCTTGATGCAATACTTTCAATCTTGTACATCAAGTGATCTCTTAACTTTATCATTCCACCAATGTTCTTTCTTATGAGCTACTCCCTACATCTGCCGTCTGCCATATCGAAGACCTGTTTTGCTGGATTATTGTCAGTCATTGTGGTGAGTTAGCCAGAACTGTTACATCTGAATTAGGTATGAGCTATACGAGCTTTATCTTGACTTTAACATCATTCAACCAATTGATTTTTAGTGTCTTCATGGGTTTGGTCTTCTCGTATTGTCATTCATTGTGACGAGATGACCAAACCCACGAAGAAGCTGAAAATCAATTGATTGTATGATGTCAATGTCATGATAAAGCTCATATAGCTAGTACTTAATGCAGATGTGACAATTATGGCTAACTCATACACTATCTCACAAAGAACTTTTGTAACGAACTTTTGTCATTATTCAGCTAAACGGACTATAAAATTTCTCAAATGTTATAAAACACATTACTGCAGAGATTTTTAAATTGTAGAAAAATAAAAAGACCAAACCAGATCCATAATGAATTAAATTATTTAAAATTTGTGCTTTTTTATTTTTTTATATAAAGAAAGATTTAAGCCGGTAAAGTAGACAGACTTAATGGTTTAAAATGGTTTAAATGGCAAAGAAAAAAATATGTATAGCATTCATTCAAAATCAGCTAAGCATAAAAATCCAAACGTTTCTTATTTTTTTGACATCTCAGATATAAAAGTGAGAGTGAGAAAATTTAATTGCTAATCAAATTCCTTTCAGAGCAGAAACGAAAAGGTTTCAATACTGTTAATTTTTCTAAATTAGCAGACGATGTCGATGTCGTATTTCAGAGTTTGCGTTCCATTTGAAACCTAAAATCTGTGTAAATGAAACTGAAAGAAAACACTTGGAAATCGTTGCGCTAATGACCAAGAAATTTTACTTTCTTTCAGCGCTTGGAGAGTCACAAAAGCGTGAAAAGCGCCCGAGGAAAACTCAAGTAATTAACAACGTTGCTTCTTCAAGGCAAGCCGCAAAAACAAAAATAATTATTTTACATAAAATACATGGCATTAATAAAAGCACTCATAAATGGAACAACAAAGTTAATAATAAATAAATTTAAACATAATTAATGTTTTTTTTTTCGCTTCTGCACATAAAATAGCAAAAACCCGCAAAATCTGTGAAAAATGCAACAAAAATCGCAATGAAATTGTATTCACGATTGATGATGGAAATTGCCTTGCCGACATTAGAAACGGGGGTAAAATGGCCAACGGTGGTTAACTCTTACGAAAATCTCCATCATAGGACCATCGTTGTCCAAACTTTAACAAATTAGTACTTGTAAATTCGCAAACTTTAAAGCCCAATGGCATTCATTAAAAATTTGAACTTTATATTTAAATTTTTAATTTGAATTTGGCTTGAATGTCACGGAAAATAAATTTCGGAGATGTCGAGGTTCAAACTTTCACGGGAAAGAAGTGAAGAGTACGGAAAAAACTATTTTTTTTCAATTAGTAAAGCAAGTTTTTTATTCGAAACGATTTCGTAATTCAAATCTATAGGCTTTTTAATAAACAAATTTTTGAATTTAAAGAACGAAGTAGGAAACTCAAATATTTTAGACAAAGTATTTGTTCTAAAATACTAGAGCATTACTTACTTGCTTATTTGGCTATAACAATCCATTATCAGGCTTAGGCCTCACACAACACCCTTCTAGTTTCGTGTATTAAGGGCGATTAATAACCCCTGGTCACTGTCTACCTATATGTATTCTTCTTCCAACTGCTGCTTCAAACATCTTTTTCGATGGAACATCCTCTTCCATTCTCACATAACATAATACTCTTCCCGTCTTGTATATTTAGTGCGGTTAATGGTTCGTGGACACTGTCTACCTATATGTGTTCTTCTTCCAGCTGCCTCTTCAAACATCTTTCCCGATGGAACATTCTCTTTCATTCTCACAACATAAGCCATCCCGTAAACCCGCTGGATGTTAATTCGTTGAATGATGTCACATATGTTAGGGCTCTATGATAAAACACGTACAGCTCGTACTTCACTCGAATGCCATAGTCGTCGCCAAAGCTTTTACGAAAAACTTTTTTTTCACATAATTTATACTAATAACAACTCTTGTTTTATTATTTCCATAGCGAAAGTAAAATTTAATATCAAAATTTCTCTGCCTACATCTAATAACTCGGAATGTTTCGGACACATTCCCGGAGTGTTTGAATCTGCTTTACGAAATGCGTAATATTGTAGCACTTGTTGCAATTTAGTTAAAGTTTTACCTTAGACCAGTGATTCCCAACAGGTGTCCGCGGATCACAACTGGAGAAATAGTTAGAAATGGTCCGGGAATCAAATTTAACAGGTATGGATACATAGCTTGTAGTTTGTTAACTGATATCTCACATGTTACCTATTTTATAGCCTATATAATGTACCTACTATATGCATCAATACCATTCATTATACATTATACAAGAGATGCATAAAGCATATTAAAATAATAATATAGTTTATTATTTCTCAATTATGTGGTTCCTACTAAAAACAAAACTATCATAGTGGTCCTTGGTCAAAAAAAAAGGTTGTGAACCACTGCCTTAGACAAACTAAGAAAAAAGAGTTCTTAATTTATTGTGTGAGTAAGAGAGAAAGAAATAGGGGTAGAGAGAAAAAGACAGCAAGAAAAAGAAAGAGAAAGCGAGAAGAAAGTATAAAAAAAAGACAGAAAGAAAGCGAAAGATAGAGAGAGAAAGAGAGGGAGAGTTAGAAAGAGAGAATAAAATACATATATATATATATAGAGAGAGAGAGTAAA